GAGCCACCCAGGCACCCCAACAAGTTCTCTTTTTAAACAAGACTTTATATGCATGCACAAACACACAGCTTCTTAGCTCAAACAAGTTATAAAGCAATACTAACTCTAGCCTCAATCCCATTATATCACTTCTCAGTGCATTTTTCTTTTTTTTTTTTTTTTAATTTTTTTTTTAGTTATAGTTTTTGAGAGAATGAGCGGGGAGGGGGCAGAAAGAGAAGGCGGGGTACAGAGGATCTGAAGTGGGCTCTGTGCTGACAGCAGAGAGCCCAATGAGGGGCTTGAACTCACGAACCGTGAGATCATGACCTGAGCTGAAGTCGGACGTGTAACCAACTGAACCACCCAGGTGCCCCTCAGTACATCTTTCTACTTGTTTTTGTATTTGTGATGCCACTGGGATCAAATTGGAACAAACTATACAGCCTATAAACCATATACTCTGATGGATCTTCTCTTGGATGAAGCCTACTTGTACAGATAAACTGAAGCTCCTCTTAAAAATCCCATAGATTTGGGGCACCTGGGTGGCTCAGGTAGCTGAGCGTCTGACTCTTGGTTTCAGTTCAAGTTGTGATCTCACAGTTTGTGAGTTCGGACCCCGCATCAGGCTCTGCGCTGACAGTGTGAAGCCTGCTTAAGATATTCTCTCTCTCTCTCTCTCTCTCTCTCTCTCTCTCTCTGAAATAAATATTTTAGAAAATCCAATAGATTTTCATGGACAACTTCCCACTCTTTTCCAATTTGCAGACAAATCGGTTGGAGGTTGTAAAATCAGATACAGAAGGGATTTTTGAACTGCTTTATATTTTAACCTCTACATGAGATTCAGTAAGAGAATTTGGTTTGCTGAATCAGTTCCTCCATTGCAGAGTTCACACAGCTGAGAAATAAAAACATACATAGTTACGTATCCGTTTATGTTTTTCTTCATTTTATAGGTGTTCAGCAGATGAATCCCCCTAAGGAACTTCTTATTATTGGCTTCTGTTTCATACGGACTCAGAGAAACCCACCAAAGCTACTTAAAGCTTAACAATGCTTAACTCATGAGCTCCATGTGCCTTTTGGATCTTTGCAACATTGAAGATTTGGAAGAAGCTCTTCAACTATTTTGTGATGGTGTTTATCATTTTATATCTTAAAGAGATTATTTTGTAAGGAATAACTTTTAATACTGTAGTTTCACCTGTATTCTACTAAATGTTGCGATACAGTTTTGCTTTTAGGTATCATTATTAAGTTACTGGGATGAATACCTTTCATGTTTTGATCTTTAGTTAACTGCGCACCCAAGAAACATACAGGTCTTTCAAAGTCATCCTAAATATTCAACTTTTGTAAATCATCAAGACTCAAAACACTTTATCTTTTAAACCAAGCATTTTCTAAAAATGACTATTGGTGGGGAGATGGAAACAGGTCATATCTTCTTAGGACAGAAGTTTTTAATAAGCTCTTGGCAATGAAACCTGGAAAAGTATTGACTCTTATACAAAATTGGTATGATATCCCAGGCAGCTCAATGACGATCACATTTGAGAGCCCTGTGTTTGAAGCATTTATAGGCAACATGTAGCAACAGTATTTACCTTCTCTTTTAGAAGAGGCTATTAACCCTCATTTAACATGGTTGAAAATTTAAAGCAATACTAATTAGCCAAGGATGGGTTTTTGGCAGTACTGGAGGAATTAGGCTTCGTTTTTAAAATCTTCAATTCATATTGCATATTTTATGCTTGGATTTGGGGGGCTTAAAAAAAAAGCTGATAATCATGTGATTAAATACCTGATCAACAGGTAGGAATATAATTTACACCAGCATATTTTTGTCATGGTAGTAAAATGTCCTATAAACTATTTATACTTTTTTTGTTCTTCATAATTATCTAGTACATAAGCATCGTTTGTTCATTTTTGAAAGGGTATTTAAATAAGCATTTTTTAGTTCATATGAAAATAACCATAGTACAGAATGATCTGTGTCCGTACAATGTTAAGTTAGACTGTACAGTTAATTAGCTGTTATATTTATGGTACTGTTACATGGGGTAATACCTTTTTTCTTTTAAGCCCAATATATATATTATGCCTGCCTAAGTTTTGAACTGGGGCTATATTTTCAGTAGTTGTAGAATTATTGGTATTAATTAGTTTTGATAGTTAACGTCTGGTTTAGATCTGCACAATTTGGTTTTTGCACAGAAATCATTTCTAAAAACCTGAATAATTGCCAAATATTAGAAGAAAGACGTTCTTCAAGAATACAGGTTTTAGTCAAAGTGGCCATTACCTCCTCTTTTTCTGTAATAATACAGACACTTGAATAAGTTGTGGTCATGTCATATGCCAAGAAAAATCTTTTCATTGGTGCCTATACTGTAATAATTACTTTTAACACATTGTATTTTGAAGTAATGGTTCAGTTGAAATGTTCACCTGCTATGGAACTGAAAGTCAATTACAGTTTATAACCTATAGAGGTCTAGGAATAATTTTGCAACTCATTTCATGGGTTAAATGAATATTTTTGTAAAAGCAAAGGTAATAAATTTATAAATTGATTATTTGAAACTTGACAACACAGCCACATCATGAGTAGGAATTATATTGCTTATTCATTATAGTTACTAGTCCTATAAACTGTTTCTAGGTGAAGCATACTCCAGTGTTGTGGGGGGGGTTAAAAATAAATATTTAAATTTCATGGTCCTCAGTGTATGTTTTCTCCAGGGGGGTTATGGTGTCATATTTTAATTATTTCAAATTTTTTCTCCTTTGCCCTTTAATTTGCTGTTGGAAATTTAACACCAACGTCTCCATTGGAAACTAGAAGGTATTCTTCATATTCAAACATTGATTATAGCTACAGTGAAGATATGCCCCCCTGTCATGACGAAATTATTGAGAGTCCTCTTTCAGTCAGAAATGTCCTAGGTTGGACAATAAGTTGTACGGTCACCCTAACAATAGTTTTATTAGGAAATCATATACAGACTTGAACCATATAGCTCTTTGGGGAAAACAAATTTCACAAAGACTTCCAGAGCTGAGATGAGAAATAGCATATAAGCCTAAAGGAATTTGAGTTTTCCTAGAGAAAAAGTCGAAGATGAGCTTAATATAGCTTTGAGGATCTATAGGATTAACACATACATAACTGGACTTCAATATATTCTTACTATTAAATAGCTTTTCTTGGGGAGCCTGGGAGTCAGTTAAGCGTCCGAATCTTGATTTTGGCTCAGGTCATGATCTCATGGTTCATGAGATAAAGCACCACATCAGGCTCCACGCTGACAGCACGAAGACTGCTTAGGATTCTCACTCTCCCTCTCTGTCTCTACCCTCCCATGCTCGTGCTCTCTCTCTCTCAAATATAGATAGATAGATGCTAGATAGATTTGTGAGTTACTGGGTAGGATTCAAGGAGCAGGGAAAAAAGTGCTAGAATGAGGGAAAGGACTAGAGAAAGGTATGTTAAAAGGATATTTTCTGATATAAGGATGAGGAAAGTAAGAAAACGATTCCATCCATCTTTTCTCCATTAAGTCATGTATAAAAATAGCTTGCTTATGTAATTGCATCATTTGTTTGAAGTTAGTACCCAACATTGTCCTGTAAATATGTTGTACTTAACATTAAAATCAATAAATGAAGTTCTCAGATGGAATGCTGTACCTTCCAGGAGGAATAGTAGGGAAATTCTGAATGGGTCAGGAATAGAATCTTGGTTCATGAACTCAGTCTGGTTTTAGCACGATCCTTTCTCTTTTCAGCAGTCGCAGTTCAACCACTTCATCCCTGAATATACATTTTCACCTCCCTCCTTCCTTTTTCTTATTTTCTAACTGTCCCTTCCTTTAGTAATAAACCAGAACCAATCATTTCTGAAATTGATTAAAACAAAATGAAGACCCAGGGGTGCCTGGGTGGCTCAGCTGGTTATGCATCCAACTCTTGATTTCAGTTCAAGTCATGATCTCACAGTTTGTGAGATGGAGCCCCACATTCAGGCTCTGGACTGACAGCACAGAGCCTGCTTGGGATTCTCTCTCTCCCCTCTCTGTTCCTCCCCTGCTTGCTCTCTCTCACTCTCTCTAGACAAATAAACTTTTAAAAAGAATAATAACAAGCAAAATGAAGATCATAGTTGCAACTTATTTTTTTAAATAAATGGATGTTCATCACTGTTTATTAAAATTCTGTTCATCTCATTTCTTTGCCTACATACATGCAAAAAAAAAAAAAACTAAGTCTTGCAGGAGAAAGTAGATAAACCAACATGTTGACTTTTATCTTTCACTACATGTAATAGTTAAGAATAGAGAAATAAGTCAAGCATCATATCTTCATCAGGCATATATCTGGCTTTAGAAATTAATTCATGAATTTCCGAGGTTGAGAATTTTTCCCAGTCCCAGATGCATCACAAACTTGTATTCTGCCGAGAGGATGTATGCCACCATCTTGTTCCTGAGACATCAGAGGGCCATGCTCCCCCTAATATATGTTATAAAAATCAAAATCTTTAACATGTCACAGAAACATTTGCACTGGAACCTTTAGTCGCAGTATGGTTTAAGAACAAAATGACCAACATAGTCACAATCTACTAAATCACTAAAGGACACAATTCTATATGCCAACCCATACTGTCCTCATTCTTCAATGTGGAAGAGCGCGAACTTCACTGATAACGTCTCTATGGAGAAATGTATCATGGAGATGATAAATGGCCACCTCACCCTACAACAGTGCTGGTGACGAGAAGGTATGTTCCAGAGTCACTTCAGAGGAAACTTGAAGAGAGGAGATAGAGGAACGAGGCAGCAGCTGGATCTTTCATAAGCTCGGTGCCCAAACTCAGGAGATTCCCTTAATGCCAATGAGTAGTAACTAAGAAAACGGTTTGTGCAGAAGGTTCCTTTTTTTTTTTCTTTTTTAATCTAAGTTGGCAACATGGAACTGGCCCAGGAATGTTCCTGGCGTTCACACTTCTAAGCTAAAAAGTAATTACACGGTTTTAGCAAAGTCCTGTCTTCAGCAGTCGGTGTACTGAAAGAAACGTCTTCGTCCTCTTCATCTAGCTGTAGACTACCAGAAGATAAGCGGATTCTGGCCATGGGTGACCTTACCCCTTTGCCATACAAAGAGTAGTAGTCCGATTTAAGAATTTCTGATTCTGAATCACTGGATTCACTAGCTACGTATCTTTCTGATGCTCCCTGATGCATTAAAACTGTTGGAAGCTCCTGCTCTGCAAACATATATGGGAAAAAGTCAGCTTTACGACTCAGAGTAGGACAAGGCCCTAAAGGTCTAAATTCAGACCCAAAAGGAAAACGGATTGTTTTCATATCTGATTGGCTCTGGGATCGTTTGGGAGTTTGCTCTTGAATGTTACATGCAAACGCATCTTCTAAATTTGGGTCTTCCGCTTCCAGATCTATGTTGATGTTGCTCCTACCACTGGTCCTGGCCATAGCTTCTTGGAGTTCTTCAAAGTCTTGCTGAAAGCTCTTCATTCTGACATTCCTTGGGCTCCTTTTGGCTGGCTTCATTGCAGTGGGCCCTGGAGAGCTGTCTGGCCTTTCCCTTTCCTCTGCCAAGATTGGAGACCGTCTGGGCACCTGGGGTGGTCTGTCCACGTAAAAAAAGACTTGGGGAGGCATAATATTGACCTGCTGGCCAGTACAAGGTATATAGGGCACATCTGTGTAAGTCAGCCGCCTCGCTGGGCTCACTTCACTTGTGAGGCCGGCAGGTGTGCTCATGTGATTGTCAGCAAACTTACAGCTCGGCTGGAAGGAGCTCAGAGGACTCCTTCCCTCAAAGTAGTCTCTGGGATCGGGGTCTGTGTAAAGAAAAGGGAAAGAGGAACTGCTCTGGGACTGATGTAACAATGCGGGGTCCGCCTCTGGTTTGGACCGCTCTGGCGCGGTGGCAAACGTCATCTCGGCCGCGGAGCTCCTCCTCCTACCGTCCAGCACGGGCTCCGAGGCTCGCACCCCATTCGCGGTTCGGTAGTATCCGCTGCCATACGCTAGTCTCAAATCTTCCACCTTGAGAGGGAGGACATGGTGAAAGAAGAGAAGAGTCGTTTGGTGGGGGTGGGGGCAGGGATCCAAAGTAGCCTCCAGTTTCACAAAGATATTTCTCACACCGTCGTTTCAACCCATGTTCTAGTCCCAGGCAGGGCCATAACTTGTGCCATATCCCAATCCCTGCGCTAAAAAGTACACAGGACGCTCTCCTTTCTCACTGCCACCCCAAGCCCAGCCTCTGAGTTCTCCATGTGCTCCAGCCAGCGAGGGACTTTAAGCAGTGCGGTTTAGTAGCTCTACAAATGAGCCAGGGGTTCTGCTTTCTGGTTCTGGTTCTGCCTTTGACTTGCCGTGTGACCTTAGGCAAGTCCCCTAACCTCCCTGCTCCAGCCTCCTCCCTATTTTCTGTAAAATGGTGGGAAGGAGGGCTATGAATGGCATGAGAGGGTCATAGATTAGATGGTACCTTCCAGCATCATACCTCTGTGAAGCTTTTGAGATAAAAGCTGCCTATGACCTGAATGAAGACATGAGCGTTTGTGAGACCTATAATTATTATTATTATTTTTTTTTTAGGGAGAGCCAAAGAAAAATAATTAACGTGGCTAATGCCATAAAACCCAAACGAAGCCATCATCTCACTGTTCCAGGAGAACAGCACTGTTCTTAAATTAAGTGACAAAATTACACAGCAAGAGTACTTTAAAACGTTAACCCAAGACCTTACAGCTTCCTCTAAGCCTTAAGATTTTCATTAGGTAAAAAGGAAGAGCTTTTACTTTTAAACATGCAAAGCCACAGAAATTCATTTGGATCTGCATTTTGCAAGATGTTAGCAACACAAGGTGCAATTTAAAAATGTGCCATACCCTTCCAGTCTATGAGGTACACACCAGTGGTCATTTATTAAATGGTCTTCTATTGGCTGGAAAGACTGAGCTGACAGATCTCCCTAGGAGACCAGCCTATTCAAACAGTCACCTTTTTACACACTGGGAGATTCTGGCAGAATCAAAATGTAGAAATGTAGATGCATTACATTTATCTAAAGCAGAAAGAATTTTCAGAAACCTTACTTGTTTTGATACATCAGAGAGGAGGTCTGGTGACGACCTGCACTGCCGTTCATGGTACTGAGATGGGTAATGTTTCCTGAAATCCCCAAACAGAGAAGGAATTGAAATGGTCTTCATGCACCTACAGAACATATGTAATTCTCTAATTCAACTTAAAATCAACACGAGAGAGAGAAAACCATGTACCTCTCGAATGGTAAGCTCCTCAACCTCCCTTTCTTTCCATATTCCAAAAGCTGCCGTTGGGTTCTTCCGCTATTTTAAGAATGAGACAGACATTTTATTTTAAAAAAGATTTGATGGGGGGAGCCTGGGTGGCTCAGTCGGTTAAGCGTCCAACTTCGGCTCGGGTCCTGTTCTCGCGGTTCGTGGGTTCGAGCCCCACGTCGGGCTCCATGTTGGCAGCTTGGAGCCTGGAGCCTGCTTTAGATTCTGTGTCTTCCTCTCTCAGCTCCTCCCCTGCTTGCTCTCTCTCTCTCTCAAAAATAAACACTTAAAAAAAATTTTTAATGTTTATTTTTGAGACAGAGTGAGTGTGAGTGGGGGAGGGGCAGGGAGAGAGGGGGACAGAGGATCTGAAGTGGGCTCTCTGCTGACAGCACAGAGTCCAATGAGGGGCTTGAAGTCACGAACTGTGAGATCATGTCCCAAGTGGAAGTTGGACACTTAACTAAGCCACCCAGGTGCCCCGAGATAGACATTTTATTAACACTAGCCATAAGCCAGTAGGCTACTAAAACTTGAAAGCTTCGTTTACTGCTGAAGTCGAGTCCACATGAATGACATATGCCATGAATCTTTGACCGTCACAGTAATTAAGAATAATACCCACTTATCCAAATATCAGGCATATATCAACCTCATCTACGCAGAGCCCAGGAAATTTTTAAAAGCTTCTGAACAGGACTATATAACAGTTAAAAAATCTGGCCTTGAAAACTAATATACTTTCCTATGAAGGCCTTTTCCCTACCTACAAATTTAGATACAATTTCTTTTTTTCTTAATATTTTTTTAAAGTTTATTTACTGACAGAGAGAGAGAGAGAGAGAGAGAGAGAGAGAGGATGGCAGGGAAGGGCAGAGAATCCCAAGCACATTCCACACTATCAGTACAGAGCTCGATGCAGGGCTCAAACTCAGGAAACCACGAGATCATGACCTGAGCCAAAACCAAGAGTCGGACGCTTAACCCACTGAGCCACCAGGCGCCCCCATACACAATTTCTAATAAGGCTATTTATCTGGTTTCCCAATTCATGACAGAGGAAAAACAGCTAACTAAAACATTAGAAGAGGTTTGCTCCAGCCAGACACACACCAACAAAGAAAGCCAGCTGGGAGAAACACAAAAGCCAAAAAGGAAATCACAAAAATAATAAAGCCCCAAAACTCTGAGCCATTTATCACTGGGGTGCAGGGACTGACATTCCTCTCCCGCCCTGAGGCCATCACTGCACTACAGCTGCCTGTGCAGGTTAATAAGTGATGTTTATAATAACTCAGGTCATTAAGAAAAGGGCAAAATATGCTCAGTATCATCTGTTTAAGGAGGCAGGGATTTGTAAAATACATTTTGGAAAGATTCCATCAAAAATATGTATGTTTTTAAAATCTCCTCAGTTCTTACTGAGGCAGGCCTCCACTATTTGAAAATCCCCTATGGGAAATATTCAATTCGGATTTTTTTTTTTTTTTTTACCTTAGCTAAGAGTTCTGAAAACCTCTTCCAAAGAGTGACTAGGCTGGTGCGTTCAAGTAAAAACAAGATCTTATTTTGACCTCGCTTCCATTCTTCCAGTGTTTTCTCACGCTATCTCTTGCCTAACCACCACCAAACGGATGTTGTTGAGCTGCCCTTTCCATGGCTTGCATACACGTTCATATAAAGAAAACAATAGGTTCATTAAATACGTCTTCTCAAACAGTGTCTGCTCCCTGCTCCTCATGCTTGCCAATATTCTGATCTAACCCCTTGCTAGGATGCTTCCCTCCTCCTCCTTCCCGGTTAGGAAATATTGACCTAATGTGTCACACAGAGAATGAGCCGTAAAGGGTGTCACCCTTTAAGTGACTTAAACGGATTCTGTATTGCTTCTAGAACTCAACTCCTCCTACTGCCTTCCCTGCCACTGAAAAGAAGTTGCGTGTACAGTATGCCCACGTGCAATAATATTTCATTACCTGTAGCGGAAACTGGAGCCCTTGCTGCAGAGTAGGGTTCTGGGCTTTGATTTGGGCTCTTCAGAAAGTCTGAAAAAAGCATGGTACTCCACACAAGTCTTCCAGAAAGCCTTGCAGGCATCTCGGCTGGCCATGGTGAACTCCAAGGTGTCCTTGCACAACACCTGTATAAACCAATTTCCATTAAGCGAAACACCCTTCATGACTATCAAAGAACTTCAAATCCCAATGCTATCCAAACCATCGGTCCGAGGGCCCGTGCAGCTTCCGATTTTCCACTCGGCTCCCTACAGGCTTCACACCTACTAAAAGCAAATGATTGGCCACCTTCCGAGGAACGGACAGGGCCACTGCTCAAAAACAGAGCCTTCTCTAAGAAGCCCATCTCGCTTTGCAGCCCCCTCACCTCAAACGCTTGTTTACCCACCCACCCCACTTCTCTGCCAGGAACCTTTTTATGAAGTTGTAAATTAGGTTAAAATGAACATCAAAGGACATCCTTTCAAGGTGACAAGAAGTTATAAATGACCAACAGGAAACGGGGTGGGGGGGAGGGGATTTCCTTACAGATGGTAGGCTTTATAGGATGATTACACGTGTGGGAGTCTTTTTTAACATATCAGCTAGAAACACTTTGTCCTCTCTATGCTGCCTTGTTCGACAATGCTCTGTATTGCTCACTTAGCATATTCTAATCTGCTTTAGGGGAGCTTAGCCTTCCAGACCTAAAGTTCAAGTTTCCTCCATCCTCCAACCCACTATATACCCGCCTTTGCCCACGCATGCATGCAGCCCTATTTTCTGCTGACCCCCCCCCCACCTCCTTTTGTTCATTCTCAGGTTCCTGCATGCAGCCCTGGGACACTCCACAAGCCTCACACTGGGTACAGTCTCCTGAAGTGCTCAAACAAACGCTTTTACGTAAGGCTAAGATCCAGAGGATGCAGCCCAAGCTACTGAATCTTCTGTAGGTCAAAACATGAGTTGATACACATTTTTCATTTCCTTTATGGTCACAAAAGGACATCCTTTGTAGCATCGTTGTCTCACCCCGAACAATGCGGCCTTGACCGGCAATTCCTTCTTTTGCTTAATCTACACCCAAAGCTCCCTACGTCTTGCTTTGGCAAATAGGTGTTCAATTATTTGGCATGTAGTAGGTGTTCAGTTATTTTTTGTTTAATGAAGAGGCATGAAAATACTTTATAAAATGGGGCAGATAACATCAAATAAATATGTCCATAGTCCTAGATCTGTTCACTTCCATTTGACTTCTCAAATCCCTGGGAAAAAAAATGTTTTTTTAAGGAGACTTGTCTTTCATTCCAGCCACCCCATTTTCCTACTACTTTATTCGTTCTGAACTGTCAATAGGATTTCTTGGTGTTCTGCCTTGAGTAGAAATATGACTAACGCTCTGGTTTATTTATGTAGAGGCAAAAGAGGGAGTACATCACCCCTCAGGGCCAGCCAGCTTTCACCACCCACATTCAAACAATTTGCTGAAACAACCAAGAAATCCCAAGTGAACCAAAAGTAGAAGAATTTATTATAAAGCTACTTACCAAAATGTTGGAATGAAGTTTGATGAGAAAATGCTTTCTCTTAAAACTCAACTTGCGGATTTTAGCCCAGTTGAAAGTATTGATCTTTGTATTTCCCTATAATGAAACACATGGCAGACTTCAAGGTGAATGTCAGCAAAAGCTGGTTTGGAAGACAATGAGAACCTGCTAGAAAATGCACTTCTGTGCATGGGACCATCCTTGATCTATCTCTTGCACATACTGATCCTGCTGTACTAGGCAGAGGCTATGGGCCGCAGAAGGCATTCCAGGTGGGACACAGGGCCGTTCCGAAATGCCAGCAAGAAGGGGTACACCTGGGAAAGGTTTCCAGCCAGGATGGGGAGATCACAGTAGAAAAGGATTACTGCAATAGTTTCTCTAATCTCGCCCCTTCCTACGTTTTCACATTCAACTGCCACTCCATTTACTCAAACACCTTCGATAGCTCCTCACTACATGCATCATCAAGTCTAAACACTTTTGGCTGGGTTTTCCTGCCTCGACTATATTGAATATTCAGCCTTCTATCCCACTGATCCTAGAAAACAGTGTTCCATCCAACTCTGTACCTTCCCTCCCAGAGAGAGGGCTCCTCATTCTCCTTACCTAGAATTGCTTTCCCCATAGCCAAGCTTTCTTGCCAGTCTGGTAGCACCCGTGCTAAAGCGTTCCGTATAACTATGACAGCCTACACCCATTTCTAACTCCTCTTAACTCCCTTGGCTATAGTGGACTTCCCAAACCATTTAGGTCTTTTAGTTGGTTAGTTGGTTGGTTGGTTGGCTGATCTGTCGGTTAGCCGGTATTTGTTTGCCCACATGCTCCAAAAATCAAAGGTATACAGAAATATAGACATTGAGAAACCTTGCTCCTATCACCATCACTCCTATCTCTGTCCCTCTGTACCTATCTATCCATTCTCTATAGATAACCACATTTATTAGTTTGTTGTGTATACTTGCACAACTTCAAATAAATATGATAAATTAGGTTTTGATTACTTACTGGCTGCTATTGATCACTATTGCTCTGGTCTCTCAAAATAAATTGTGAGTATCTTAATTATAGGAGCCACAGGTCACGCTTAACGTTAGTTTCTTGATTATGTCATCCTTTACCCTTCTCGGGGGCCTTTGTCTGTGTGCCCTTTGTCTGGAACCCCATCCCTCACCTGCCAGCGCTCACTTCGATCTGGACAACTTCCTCAGGTCTTAGCTTAAATGTTCAAGTCCTTTCCCATGTGTTATCATAGCATCCCACACTTCTTCAAGCACAAGTACATTGTATCTGTTTAAAATTATTTGTTTAGGGGTGTTTGGGTGGCTCAGCCAGTTAAGCAGCTGACTCTTGGTTTTGGCTCGGGTCATGATCTGACGATTCATGAATCAATCCCCACACTTGGGATTCTCTCTCTCTCCCTCTCTCTCTGCTCCTCCCCTGCTCATGCTCATGCTCATGTCAAAAACAAATAAACTTAAAAAATAATAACAAATAAAATTACTTGTTTCATTGTCGGTCTTCCCCCTATTAGAATGCAAGGTCCATGAAGTCAGGATAATTCCTGCTCACCTCTGTACCTCTAGCGTCTGCATAGGGTGGATGTACGATAACTATACTGACAGAAGACTGAATGAATAGATTGCTGCCCAACTCGGTAAAAATACTCAAAGCCATTGAATTGAACAATTAAAACAGATGAATTTTATGGCATGCAAATTATATCTCAGTAAAGCTGGTTTTGTTTAAAAAAGAAAATAATAATACAATGAATGAAGAACACGTAGGAAGTACTCAGTACACAGGTATTCTTTGACTGGATTTGGGGTAGGACAAAATAGACCAGCTACACCGTTTCACACTGTCCACAGAAGTATTCACACTGGAGGAGGTCACAACTAACATGATGGCTTTGCTCCTCTGCCCTCCCCCATTTTTTCCCATGCAGGAGGAAATGGTGAGGATCGGGGCTTAGAGTGCAGTGGGTAAACAGGCATGCCTGTGACCCATTGGGTCTTTTGCCCACGAGTGTGATTCTCGTGCCCCAAAGTTTACAACCAGAAAAATGAGAAGGCCAAGATTCTTTTAGCTGAGTCTGTACCTGACTCTTTGTGACTTACTTCAGTACTCTAATTTGGTCCTGGAGATCACTGGGCCTGAGCTCATCCCTTCCTCTCTCACAAGTGATTTATTCCCAAACTTGCCCAGCTATCTGCCTATCATCTTTTTAATGCTTATTTATTTTTGAAAGAAGACACAGAGAGAGAGCATGAGCAAGGGAGGAGCAGAGAGAGAAGGAGAGAGAAAATCCCAAGCAGGCTCTGTGCTGTCAGCGCAGAGCCGGACGCGGGGTTCAAACTCATAAACCACGAGATGAAATCAATAGTCAGATGCTTAATTGACTGAGCTACCCAGCCACCCTTCTGCCTATCATTTTGGAAGGTGAGGCAAGTGCTCTTGAACCTTAACCTGTATCTAAATTCATTGAATGTTCACACATGTGAGGAGACTTAATGGACTGGTCAGGTTCCTTGGAGTGAGGATTCATGATGATAGAGGACCAGAGAGGCCTGAGTTGGTTTCTAACATGAAAAACAACGTCCTGGGAAAATAATGAACCAGTAAACAGAAGCAACTGCTGGCACACTGGGCTCTAATTGCCTAGCAGCCGACGGTGGGCATCTCCAGTGAAACCAGTAACTGAATGAGAACACCACATTTTGGACCCTTTGGGTTGTTTCTGGTGCATCCGGATAAGGTGAGTGCACTCCGCATCACAGCCTAAGCTTTTAAGATGCCCAAATCCATAATGTGTGAGTTCCTGTGAGTCAAAACAGTCAGTTACAGACCATAAATGGAGGCAAAGCACATCAAGGGGAGAAGACTTACCCAAGACACTGGCAAGTGTCCCCTCCCTTTCTGACGGGTGGTAATACTGAGAGGTGAGGTCACCTCAGGAATGGACACCCACGCTTGTGCCAACGTAACCCCCAAAGCCTCAGGACTTTCAAGGAAAGAGTTGGTACCCGTAACACCACTACTCCCATGTGAGCAACAGCCAGGTGGATCTGCATCCCTTCGCCATCACTGGCGGGGTGAGGCCTGATGCCGTACATATCCAGCTTCCTTGCTATATCCAGTAGCAGAATGTCCGATTCAGCCGGGCTCCTGCCGCTGCAAAGGGAAAGAATTTACGAGCCTAATAAATGCGGCAAGAATGACACCTCCACCCTAAGGGCTCCAAGAGGAGCTCAGTGTTTTCTCGAGCTCGAAGCTTCTCTGACTTAAGGACTTGCTTTTTTTTTTTTTTCATGTTTATTTACTTTTGAGAGAGAGAGAGAGCACAAGCAGGGGAGGGACAGGGAGACGGGGAGACACAGAACCCGAAACAGGCTTCAGGCTCCGAGCTGTCAGCACAGAGCTTGACGCGGGGCTCGAACCCACAAACCGTGAGATCAGGACCTGAGCCAAAGTCGGATGCTTAAGCGACTGAGCCCCACAGGCGCCCTAGGACTTGCTTTTAAGAGCCTGTCCCCAGCGTCAGCATGCCCACTAGCAGAAGCAGGTGCCAGATGAAGTACTTACACGTGCTTCTGATGAAAGTGCATGATCTTGCTCTCTAAACAGTCTTGGTTCGGTAAGTATCGGGTTTGTGCCAGATGTTTCTTATCTGTTTCTTCATGAAAGTCTCCCAGTTCTGCTGCACGACAGAAAAGTGACATTTTTCACATTAGCATTGAGGAGTTAAGCAGTGGAGCACCTGGCAGATGCTCTGACCTGCCCCAAACAGCCCCTTCTTTGCAGCCAGTATAGCCCTAGGCCCCACACCCCATGATTTATGTATCTTTATATTTTAGTTCACGGTGGAATGAACTGGGTCTTTCTCAAATCAGAAGCAGTGGTTTGCTATGAAGTCTCAGTATAGTAAATCACAGACACGGTGTAGGTCTTCAAGGCTCCAGGATCACAGGTGAGTATTTCATTAGTTTCTTCTTCCACATTCTGTTTGTGATCTCTTCTTCTTCTCATCAGTTCCTGTTACGGTTTGAGTTGTGTGTGCCCCACAAACACTCTCAAATTCATATGTGGAGGTTCTAAACACCAGTACCTCACACTGTGACTGTATTTAGAGATAGGACCTACAAAGAGGGGATTAAATTGAAATGAGTCAGCAAGGGGGCACCTGGGTGGCTCAGTTGGTTGAGCGTCTGACTTCAGCTCAGGTCATGATCTCACAGTCCGTGAGTTCAAGCCCCACGTCAGGCTCTGTGCTGACGGCTCAGAGCCTGGAGCCTGCTTCGGATTCTGTGTCTCCCTCTCTCTCTGCCCCTCCCCTGTTCATGCTCTGTATCTCTCTATCTCAAAAATAAATAAAAACATTTAAAAATAAAATAAAACAAAAAAATAAAATGAGTCAGCAGGGTGGGCCCTTATCCAATCTGACTAGTGTCCTTATAAGAAGAGGAAATTCGAACACACAGATACCAGGAATGCAAGTGCACGGAAGAAAGACCAGGTGAGGATACATCCAGAGGACAACAATCTGCAATCCAAGCAGAGAAGACTCAGAAGAAACCAAAGCTGTCCACACTTCAGCCTTGGATTCCTAGTCTCCAGAAGTGTGAGAAAATACGTTTCTGTCATTTAAACCAGCTAGTCTCTGGTATTTTGCTATAGCAACCCTAGCAAAGTAATACAGGCCCCTAACCTCGCTCTACCTTGATCGTACATTATCCAAAAAGGAGCATATAAATGCCAAGTACAATGCCAGCCAGTCACAGCTATTCATCACTCTGTACACTGGGAAGTGAGTAAAACCCTAGCTATCTGGAATCCCTAGGAAATGAATCATTCTGGAAATTATTCTGGCTTTTCCAAAGCCAGTTTACCCCTGATCATAATCTACTCTTTTCTAGATGTCTCCAGTTTATTGTTTTAAACATCTGTCAGCACAATGCCTACAAAGGTCATTGAGGTGTACAGGATTATCTGCCCCTACAGTTAATGGATTGGAAATGTTTTGATTTTTGAATTACCGTGTCTTCTTTATCATTTTTACACCTCTCCCTCTCTGTCAGATTGATATGAATCACTTCCTGGTCACTGACTTCCCTTGAAGAGGTCTCCACTTGGTTGTAACTATGACTTCTAAGTGGGAACCTAGATATCCAAACCTGTTAGCGTTTTATGAATTGGAAGAGTAAATGGATTCTCCATGGAATCCTGTGGTGCTTGCCTATTGACTAAAATACATGGACACGGGACACTGATTTTGAGTGCTGGAAACTTATTTTGCCTTTTCTCTTGATTTTCTTTTGTTTCTTAATTTTTAAAGTTTATTTATTTATTTTGAGGGGGAGGGTCAGAGACAGAGGGAGAGGGAGAATCCCAAGCAGGCTCCGCATTGTCAAGGAGCCAGACACGGGGCTCAAACCCACCAATCATGAGATCATGACGTGAGCCGAAATTAAGAGTTTTATGTTTAACCAATTGAGCCACCCAGGTGTCTCTTGACTTTCTATTACATTTTAGACAGGTGACATGCTCATTGAGATATAGGTGTATGTTTTTTAAAAGTCACATTATAGTGAAAATCCTCATATAACAAGCTTTCTTAAGAAAAAAAAAAGACCAAATAAATGGCTATTTTATTTATTTTTTGCCAAAATTGATAACTGTACAAATCTCTTTAAAACAGAATCAGGCCCATATGATTTCACTGATTAATTCTATCAAATATTCAAAGAAGATATAAAGACCAATTCTTCACAAACTTTTCCAGAAAATAGAAGATATAATACTTACCAACCCATTCTATGAGGCCAGTATTACTCTGATACCAAAACTGTGATGGACAAAGCCATCATAAGAAAACTACAGACCAATATACCTCATGAATACAGAGGCAAAAATCCTCAACAAAATACTAGTAAACTGAATCTGGCAACATATGAAAATGATTACTCATCATGACCCAGTGGGATGTATCCCAGGATTGCAAGATCAGTTCAACATATGAAGATTAATTAATATAATATACTATGTCAATAGAATAAAGGACAAAAAAAACATTTATCATTTCAGAAGATGCAGAAAAGCTCTGGGCAAAACCCAACACCATTTCATGATTTTAAAAAGTTCAACAAACAAGGAATAGAAGGCAGCTTCTTCGACGTGATAAAAGTTATCTATGAAAAACCAATAGCTAGCATCATAATCATACTAAATGATGAGAAACTGAATGCTTTTCCCTATGACCAGAAACAAGACAAGGACATCTGTTCTTGCCAGTTATATATCCAACATTGTACTGGTGGTTCTAGTCAGTGCAATGAAGCAACAAGAAAAAATATAAACAATTTGCACTGAAAAATAAGAGATAAAATTGTCTTTACTGGGGCACCTGGTGGCTCAGTCAGTTAGGTGTCTGACTCTTTCTTTTTTTCTTCTTCTTTTTTTTTTTTTT